ATATATATATATATATATATATATATTAACTTAAAAAAAACAAACAATAATATTTTATCAATATTTTGTAAAAATGGAAATTGATATTTGAATGTTTGCATTTTTTCTTTTAAATAGTTTGTTCAGACTTAAGTTATAAAATCTTTATATATGCATACTCTAATCATAAACCCGTCCAATTTTTTCCCTATAATAATAAAAATAATTATTTTTACATTAGCTACGCTGTCTATTTTATAACGGCTGTTGACAGATGTCCAAAGTGTCAAGAGCTCAAATGGCTCAATAACGCCATCCAGCAGAACTCTATTTTTATTAGCTCTAGTACTTGACTTCGTTTTGACCAAAATAAGGCCTATTCAACTGTAATGGCGGGGTTTGAGGATTCCAGGAAATTCTCCTCACTGGTACGTCAACATGACCTCGCTTGTATCCGTGTTCTTCCCTCACCGAGAGCTGGTGGATACACATCACCAGCACGTGGCGCGACTTCTTTGCGGTCAGCGTGCGCAAAGATTTCAGTGCTCATACTCTGAAAAGTGGTTTGCTTGATATGTGCAACATCGTGACTGGTGCACCACCTGATACCAATAAGTTACAAGTGCATGCCTGGTGCACTACCTGATACCAATTAGTTACAAGTGCATGTCTTGTGCACTACCTGATACCAATTAGTTACAAGAACATGTCTGGTGCACTACCTGATACCAATAAGTTACAAGTGCATGCCTGGTGCACTATCTGATACCAATTAGTTACAAGTGCATTACTGGTGCAATACCTGATAACAATTAGTTACAAGTGCATGTCTAGTGCACTACCTGATATTAATTAGTTACAAGTGCATGGCTGCTGCACAACCTGGTACTAATAAGTTACAAGAGCATGTCTGGTGCACTACCTGATACCAATAAGTTACAAGAGCATGTCTGGTGCACTACCTGATACCAATTAGTTACAAGTGCATGTCTTGTGCACTACCTGATACCAATTAGTTACAAGTGCATGTCTTGTGCACTACCTGATACCAATTAGTTACAAGTGCATGTCTTGTGCACTACCTGATACCAATTAGTTACAAGTGCATGTCTTGTGCACTACCTGATACCAATGAGTTACAAGTGCATGTCTTGTGTACTACCTGATACCAATTAGTTACAAGTGCATGTCTTGTGCACTACCTGATACCAATTAGTTACAAGAACATGTCTGGTGCACTACCTGATACCAATTAGTTACAAGTGCATGTCTGGTGCACTCCCTGATATTAATTAGTTACAAGTGCATGGCTGGTGCACAACCTGGTACTAATAAGTTACAAGTGCATGTCTGGTGCACTACCTGATACCAATTAGTTACAAGTGCATGTCTGGTGCACTACGTGATACCAATTAGTTACAAGTGCATGTCTGGTGCACTACCTGATACCAATTAGTTACAAGAGCATGTTTGGTGCATTACTTGATACCAATTAGTTACCAGTGCATGCCTGATGCACTACCTGATACCAATTAGTTACAAGTACATGTCTGGTGCACTACCTGATACCAATTAGTTACAAGTACATGTCTGGTGCACTACCTGATACCAATTAGTTACAAGTGCATGTCTTGTGCACTACCTGATACCAATAAGTTACAAGTGCATGCCTGGTGCACTACCTGATACCAATTAGTTACAAGTGCACGTGTGGTGCACTACCTGAAACCAATAAGTTACAAGTGCATCTCTGGTGCACTTTCTGATACCAATAAGATACAAGTTCATGTATGGTGCACTACCTGATACTAATAAGATACAAGTGCATTTCTGTTGCACTACCTGATACCAATTAGTTACAAGTACATGTCTATTGCACTACCTGATACCAATTAGTTACAAGTGCATCCCTGGTGCACTACCTGATACCAATAAGTTACAAGTGCATGTCTGGTGCACTACCGGAAACCAATTAGTTACAAGTACATGTCTTGTGCACTACCTGATACCAATAAGTTACAATTGCATGTCTAGTGCACTACCTGATACCAATTAGTTACAAGTGCATGTCTGATGCACTACCTGATACCAATTAGTTACAACCTAAGTTACAAGTGCATGCCTGGTAAATCCATCTTTGCCCTCAAGTCTGACCACAGGCATTGGATTGCATGAGTTGGACAAAGCGAAAAGGTGGTTCAGCGGTAATTATTTATTTGTCCGTTTATGCTAGGAGAAAAATACACGTCTTATTCCTTGCCCATATTTAGACTTGCCTAGTTGAAACAATTATTTTCTAAACAACACATGCTTGAAATGAGCAGGCTGTTTGATTTCAATACGTGCTGTCAAAAATTTGAACGTCTGTTGGAATTGTACCAATAGTTGATGTTTATTTGTTTGGCTCCGGGTCCGGGTATTCCCATATTAAGGTTTACAGACCTCATGTTTTCATACAACCGCTAAGTCTATTTAAACGTAAGTGATACGGTTTATGCATATTTAAGTTTTTCTTGGACATATTGCCTCGCGCAACTTATCAAGTGAGTTGATCTTGTTTAGGATCATCTGCAAGTGTCTGAAATTTTTTTTCTTGAGCTCCGAACTTCGAACTAATATAAATATTCAAGCTTCAACATACATTTTCCGGTTCTACTATTTCATTCGTAACGTAGGACTCTCCTGCTCCCCTGGCCTCCCCCCCGGATCATCCAAAGCAGGGCACTGAGTCAACAGATAAGGTAAGTGTCTCCGGGGCCAGCTCCCAACTGCTAAGTCATCCGAAAACAAAACCGCTCTATGTGTGGCAATGTGTGTGTGCGTGTGTGTTTTCCACAAGCCAAAGCTTAAGACACGCCGTCGTGGTCTTGACCTAGGGATCAGGCTACCGCAGCATCCCGCGAACTGCTTCTGTCCCCACCGGTAGACCAGGTTTAGATAGGAAATCACAATTTGTTCTTTTTGTATACGTTCCTTATAAATTTTTTTAATGGGGAACCCTATGGTATTATGCCATAAATTATATCTTAACGGAAATGTGATTGAATAATCTATATCTCAGCATATTTGCAAGTCTACACAGTCTTTAGAGGATATTGTAATATTAATTATTTAAGAGTGTATTCAGGTTCATCGAGTGTATTCAGGTTCATCGAGTGTATTCAGGTTCATCGAGTGTATTCAGGTTCATCGAGTGTATTCAGGTTCATCGAGTGTATTCAGGTTCATCGAGTGTATTCAGGTTCATCGAGTGTATTCAGGTTCATCGAGTGTATTCAGGTTCATCGAGTGTATTCAGGTTCATCGAGTGTATTCAGGTTCATCGAGTGTATTCAGGTTCATCGAGTGTATTCAGGTTCATCGAGTGTATTCAGGTTCATCGATTGAAAAAGGGTTCGGGGTGTTCCAACCCTTTGAATTTAATATATCTCAGACTGCATTGAAAGTTTGAAACCCAGCTCCAAGTGCGCCGTTGTCACGCCACTGCACGAAATCTACTGTCCTATGACGTACTGCGAGTACACTGCCTTCGCCAAACGTGTGTGTCAAGAAATAACCCACTGACGGGAACACGCAGTTGCCGGATCCCGGCATAGAGATGACGTTGTACGCGCGAAGCTCGCCATGTGACAGGGGGGACACGAGCAATGACAACACCGGCTAATAGCCGCCTCCGCATAAAGACACAAAATCAAACCCATCCACCGGAGCTCAGACGTCACGCATGACTCGCGCTGCGTGACAGCCTTCATTTTCACCCAGTATTATTAATATAGAACACGTAGACTTGGGGGAGGGGGCGATTTTCAAGAGGAAGCAGGACACATCAGAGGCAATATATTTATATATATACACACAAGAGATTATATACATAAATGATTTAAACGCATTGTACATTATTTTTGGTACACTATTTCTATGACAATATCCGTATTGACATGGAAGTTTATTTTATAAAAACCCCACAAACTTTGTATCTTTCTTGAAGGCTCTGGCTACACCACGTCACACACAAACAGTGTTTGCATTCTGAAAAGTCAGGTCTGATCAATAGTTTTATGTTTAGCAAGGCAACTCGACATTAATATATACAATTTAAAATGTTACTTTATAAACAAACAGCTCTCGTCCACTCATTTAGCTCTAAACAGCTTTCTTAAGATTTTATGTAGAAAAAATACGTTCTCCTCATCCCTAATGTGAAGAGATTTTATGAAAGTGATTCATTCATTTGGCGTGTCCGTAGTGGTCTTAACAACCTGTCATTTACAGGGGTGTTGATGAGGATATGGTCAACCTTTTTTGCACGTCGGAATATTGGATTTGATGTACGGGGCACTAGCCAGACACCGACCAAGTGTGACGTCACACTGACAGGCTTGGTATCCACACGAGTTGACTTTGTCTGAAATGGATTTTACTTTGGTAAACAGATGAAATTGTCAAATATACAGGTTACGTCACGATAAACGTGTCAAATGGCAAACGTAAAGGTCAATTAATTGTATATTGGTCAAGAGATACATTGTCAAAAGAGCAGGTCATGTTGTGCTAGTCCATCATTACATTCATCAATATTTTATTTTATTTCATGCATTTTAGTTTTATTTCGATAAAATTCATACTTAATTTTTGTAAACATTTCTATTGGTAATCAAACAAATTATGACTTATGAACATGAAATATATCTACAGGTATGCAAGATCACTAAATGGAACGAGCTTTGTGACTTCATTTTGGAGATAAACGCTGAATTCAATTGATCTACCCGTAACATTGGTGTATAATGTATGCGCGTCTCGCCCAGATTTCTCCCTGGTCACCAAATGCCTCCACTGCTATCTTAAAGGCATACGAAACCAGCATGCATCTCTCCCACTCGCCTTATCCTCCTCTTACCATCTACCTACCCTCAAACTAACGAACTTCGTTGGCTTTTTTTTAACAATCCGTTTGTCGTTTAGTGTTAACACCGCATCTTATTTTAAAGTCATAGCATGCAAGTATGTTGAACACTTGACTACATGCATGTGCCCTAACCAAACAACTGGCCAATCCACCAACCAGAGAAACAATCAAAACCAAACAACTACCACCAACTGACATAAACATTTTTCTTGAAACTAAACTTTAGTTGAACCCTGATTTAAAGCAACATGCGAGGTCAATGACATGGGATGGCGCAAAACACTAAAAAGCGGGGTGATTAATAGCAGAGTTCCATCTCACAGGTGACATATTTGCCAAGAGTCATATCCGCAGGTATCCTTTGGTCGAATCCATCTCACCCTTACGCTAATTCGGCCTGTTTTTTTGTTTTTTTTTTGTTTTTTTCATTTTGTAAACATATGTGCACGGGTAATTTTACGGCAAGCGTTTAAAAATGCATTTCTAACACCCGTCAAGACTCACCTTAGGCACACACAGTCCGTCAAGACTCACCTAGGCACACACAGCTCCCACCGGTGCATCTCGATGTGGACCACGACAGGTGAGTCACCCAACAGCTCGTCCCGCTGTAGCAGTCGTCATGCCCCTTGCAGCACCTTGCCGTGCAGTTTGAATAAATAAAAACTCAAACTATAAAATGTACAGGTATTAGAAACACGGGGACATTTTTTAGAGAACTCAAAAGCCAGTCACACGGATGACTCGTGACCTCAGCTTCGAGCGAGAGAGGGTTGCAAGGAACGAATCTTTTCTTTTTTTTATATATATATTTGATGTGGCGGCAGTTTAGGTCTATGGCCAACTTTAGTAATTTTTTTCATTTTTTTTTAAAAGCTACTTCATTCATAAATGATTTGTTCAAAATCAGCGGGGAAAACCATACTATCTTGTCATCCTGTCCAATGACGCCATTTTAGAATTACCGCGCTAGATATTTCCTCATCTTTGTTTTAACCTAAAAAATGTTTCCGTTTTTTTTCTCCACTATATTTTTTTGTGCTGAGTTGAATTAACATAAAAAAGGTGATGTAGAATATATATGTTTTAGAGAAGACCTGAGAAACAATTCATTGGAAAATAACATTATGCGCCGCGCCCTATAGTCTACTCATTACCTTTTATCCCTGCTGCTGTGGACCGAAACTATTACCCTTTACTTAAATATGCAAAAAGGTACCCGGGACGAGGGGCTAAAGACACACATTTTCAAATTATTAATCAAATCTATTCACTCTTCTACACGAGGTGCCCGGGAACCACTGAAGTAAATAACATTAAGTCAGAAATAATGGCTAGAAATAAAAAAACTTAAACAGGACTACGCAAAATGCCCCACCATTAAATCGAAGCGGGGGGGGGGGGGGCGAACGAATTATTAAAATAATTTTAAAAATACTTACCTATCCAACAATACTTACCTATCCACAGCATCGACAGGTACGCCTGAACCACCAAGACCGCAGTAACACCCGTAGCCGTTGTAGTCAAAAGCCGACCTCTTTGTGTAGTATTCGATTATTTTAGCCATTTCTATAAGGCCTCTCTTCTCAGAACGGGCCTCTGTAGCTTGGAGAGGGCTTGTGACTGCCCGGTTAACTGAAGGCATAGAGATGGCGCATCCCTTATTTCAAAGGACAACAACAACATCAAGTAATACAGCAAATTAACGGCAGAAAACCCAGTCGGGGAACAAATGATTCAAAGAAGAAAGGGCTGAAGGAATACAGAAGAGAAACACCAAAAGGAATGAATCGAGAAGTCAGTGAATGAACAAGTCAGTGAACATAGCTGGGCAAAATTTAGAATGGCTCATGTACTGGCAAAAACATGTGGGATTTTTAACTAAACAAATGACTTCCAGGGAATTTTTCATCCCGGGAGATTCCCGTCTGCACACTTTTAGTATACTTTTTTTTTTTAATGTATTATCATTGTTATTTTTTTTTACATTTTTGCAATTGACAGATTTCACATATTGTTACAGATTGTCATAAATTGTCACAGATTGCCACAAATTGTCACAGATTAACAAAAATTGTAGCTATGAGCAAAGAACTTCAAAAATCTGGTTAACTTCGCTCCGTAACTGTTGTACGCAAGTTCTCATGCGTGTTAAAGTCACGAACTACATTCAATAGAAGCAAAGTGACCGCGATATTTTGGTAGAAAGAGCTTTTGAGTAGGGTAAATACCTGGATAAGAAAACATTTTAATAATTAAAAAAAAACACTACCTCTGAAAGTCTATAGTCTCAGATGGTGACCTCCCCTCCCACTCCAGATACATAAGCCCCCCCCCCCTTTGCAATCCCAGGTGAGGTCAGCTCCCATGGGCTGGACAATTTTTGCTCTTGTAACTGAACTATCACAAGATGTTCATGTGTCAAACTAACTTTGGTAGAAAGAGCTTTTGAGTAGGGTAAATACCTGGATAAGAAAACATTTTAATAATTAAAAAAAAACACTACCTCTGAAAGTCTATAGTCTCAGATGGTGACCTCCCCCCCCCCTCCAGATACATAAGCCCCCCCCCCCCTTTGCAATCCCAGGTGAGGTCAGCTCCCATGGGCTGGACACTTTTTGCTCTTGTAACTGAACTATCACAAGATGTTCATGTGTCAAACTAACTTTTTATTGTGTAGTTTTAAACGAAATGGATTTAAAAAATAATCAACATAGTCAGACATTTACGTTACAGAGATACATCTATTAACATTCCTAATAGTTCTTGTTGTTGTTTTTTTTTTTTTGTTGTTTTTTTATTCGAAACGAACATTTTGTTACAAGTAGTTAGAAACATTTGCATGTAGACTAACTATTTAATGACGGATGAAATACTAGAGTTGGCAATCTACATATAATGCATAACGTTCTAAGTGTTGGCGTTTGTCTTCTTTCTTCTGCAGACAGTTTTATTAATTTTTTGCATTAAAAAAATATTATTAGCTAGTTATCCATTAGCACGGGTAAAAAATGTGAAGTGAAGTAACTAGCAGCTAGTGACCAACCTCTCAACTGAACTTAACATGTAAAGAATGTGAAGTGAAGTAACTAGCAGCAAGTGACCAACCTCTCAACTTAAAGTAACTACCAGCAAGTGACCAACCTCTCAACTGACCTTAACATGTAAAGAATGTGACGTGAAGTAACGAGCAGCTAGTGACCAACCTCTCAACTTACCTTAACATGTAAAGAATGTGAAGTGAAGTAACTAGCAGCTAGTGACCAAACTCTCAACCTACCTTAACATGTAAAGAATGTGAAGTGAAGTAACTAGCAGCTAGTGACCAACCTCTCAACTGACCTTAACATGTAAAGAATGTGAAGTGAAGTAACTAGCAGCTAGTGACCAACCTCTCAACTTACCTTAACATGTAAAGAATGTGAAGTGAAGTAACTAGCAGCAAGTGACCAACCTCTCAACTGACCTCAACAGCTTCATTTTATTCATTAATTAATAGTAAATAAAAATGAGGACAACAAACAAAAATCAAGTTTTCTTTATAGTTTAATTTAATTTTAAATTTAAAAAAAATTAAATTGATAGAAATCCCGAAATCAAGTGATACGGAAAGATGGATTCCAATGTAATCGGGGTAAGCAAAGCATTAGGAAATGATAACCCCCCAAGTGCAGCGGATATCATCCTGTGGGTTGTGACCTCTCTCGGTGTCAAAGGATTCTTACACAGGGGTTTCCTAAGTTCATCGGAAAGGACATATTTATGACGTGGCAACGGAAATAATTTTATGGTCGGGGGAGGGGGGTCACCACAACCTGACGAACTGTATTAAAGAGCATTCGCATTAGGAAGGTTGAGAACCACTGCCCACTTGAAATCTCACCCATCATCCCAGCCCCGACCCAAAATTAAAGTCTATTTCTCTTATCAAACGTAGCATTGATCCCACTGAACAAGAACAGCCCAGGCCCCCCTGTGTTCAAGTGGGTGTTAATATCATGCATAAGAAAACCCCATCCTTCAGTCTTAAGGAGTCAAGGGGAACAATGTAAACAACGCGTGGGTGGAGATGATGCGACCACTGGCTGATACAATCACAGGGGAAGAAGCTTTCTCGGAATTCTGTCGTCTTCCTGGTTGTTGGCCTGGCGGTGAAAGCGGCATATTTGCGTGAGGAGTTGGCCTACTTTTAGGGACGAATGGGCTCAAGCCGTTGCACAAAGTCAACAGAGGCACAACCGTACCACTCCTTTGCCCAAGCCGTACCACGCCTTTCACAGCCGTACACCACAATACACAACAACCGTACCACCTTTTTAACAAACGTACCAGGCATTTCACAACGTTACACTCCTATCACAGCTGTACAATGTGTTTCCCAGTTTTCATTCCGAGATTTAACACACAAAAATAAATAAATATTTATAAGTTTATATATATAAATATATAAATAAATATATAAATAAATATATAAATATATGTATATGTATATATATATATATAATTATATATAAATGAAAAGGAATCTCTTTCCCCAGCCCTCAATTCTTTCCATTTTGAAAATTTCTGGAAATCTTAAATTTCTCATGAAAACCGTACTGATTGTTAAAAGTTTCTTACCCGTAGCCAGTAGAATTAGAAGTAGTCCGAGCATTCGGTAGGGGCTAGAATTAGTCTCTTGAATTGTCATGGTTATCTTGAGGACCTACAAATGATATCGTATTGAGAAACTAGTTTTACTTACGTTATGGAATCGATATTTAAAATCTCAACATAACTGCGGTATCCTAGAATTTTAGGGCACTAGATTTAGTGGCCATAAGGAGGAGACACTGCAATCAAGTTCGAAAAAAAAAAAAGGTAATGAGTGTAACAGAATATCTGGGAAAACCTGAAAAAAAAGGAACGCAACAAAACAAGCAACGTGTCGGCAGGATGCCTTCTAGAAACTAGTTTTACTTACGTTAAGGAATCGATATTTAAAATCTCAACATAACTGCGGTATCCTAGAATTTTAGGGCAATAGATTTAGTGGCCATAAGGAGGAGACACTGCAATCAAGTTCGAAAAAAAAAAAAAGGTAATGAGTGTAACAGAATATCTGGGAAAACCTGAAAAAAAAGGAACGCAACAAAACAAGCAACGTGTCGGCAGGATGCCTTCATCAGGCGAACAAACAACATTAAAACCAGAATTAAATTTTAAAAAATAATAACTCTTAGCCGAAATGTAGCACCCGAGACGGCAGAAATGGGATGCGTAAATTTCAATTTTGTATGCATTTGTTGTTTTTGTTTTTTTTGTTTTTTTTTTCTGTTTTTTGTTTTTATTTATTTTCCAAACCGAGTCATTAAATGAATTAGATATTAAGAATTACTGATTAAATTGCATGGAAATGTATAGCTAGAATTTGTGAAGCCTGGAGCAGTCCTTGATTTCTCACCACCCATATCAAACGAATACCATACAACATGCATAATTCAACTTAACCCAGCTTGGTTTTTAAGATTGTCCGGTGGACCGAAAATAAAGTCCCTATAAAAAAAAGCCGCTTAAGCAGATCGCCCCCTTACACAGATTCCTAAGCCACTGCAAATAGGCCTATGGCTGTATTATAATTCCCCTGTGGATGTTGTCCACCCAGGCTGCGCACCTTGATGCGCTCTCATTCGCTGCTTCTCCACGTCGTACGCACCAAATGCATAAAAAAAAAATAATTTACAAAAAAAAATTTTTAACTTTCTAAAAAAGACAATCGATCAAAGACGAGTTAAGACGCTAAAAAAATGTACAACAAAACTTAAAATTTCTTAAAATGCCTTATGCAAAGAAAGAATGTGCAGAAGTGCAGATGAGCACTCTATGAAACCACAGAATTCGAAAACTGAATGAAGACAAAACATGAATATGTTATATTTTTATAAATTAAAAAAAAAAATTATTTTCTGCTCAGAGTGTGCGATGAATGTCCCATAAACTAAAGTTACTTAACAAAACAAGCATGCATGTAACGCCCTTTATAAGAATCCCAATTAGTGCAAACTTCTGGGAATTTCACTTCGCGGGCCTCCTTGAAAACAGCGCTACGGCCATACATACCCACATACATCGAGAATGATGACCTGTGATATTGTAACCGTCTGTTCCAAAATAAACATATGGCACTCACCAACGTTCCCAAATGTCGATAGGGTGAAGGTCAAGCCATTAGCCGCAGTGCAGCGTATTTTTATACAACCGTTACCTTTTAATGACCTATCCAGATTTTATTGACGCGAGTATTGCATTACAGGTCTAGGTGTGACCTGCGCCGTTAGCTACATAATGGATCTCTGTCAACTATGAGGGCGTCGTCGGGGGTTGGCATGGGTAGTAGACAACAAGGTAACGATTGAGCGCCCCCCAGCAATTAAAAAGGGGGGCTTCGGGACAGAGGCGTAGCGAGGGTGTTTGGCGCCCGGGGACAAGATTCGCGCCCGGGGACAAGATCCAGTTTAAAGCGCCACTTTTTCTTTTTTACAACTCTCAATTCCATTACTTCCATCAATAAAATAATATCAAAGCACATTTTGGCGCCCCTAACTAGCTGGTGCCCGGGGACATCTGTCCCCCCTGCCCCCCCTCGCTACGCCTCTGATTCGGGAACAAAATATGCAATCCAAATTGTGAGTTAAAAGCACAAGAATTGGTTGCCTTAAGCTGGGTCCTATCACTGGAAGGACCACGCATACATGAGAATTGGCTGCACCCGAGTTCACATAGAAATATATGCACTAGAGCACAACTGCATTTGATGAAATTTGGAGATCAACATGATGGTTACTCCTCCGAGCTAGACCAACCCCCAGTGATGCCTCTGCCAACGGGGCTTACGTCATTTCATAACCGAGAAATGAGAACAAACCCAACTCAAAGTAAGCCCCCCAACTTGTCCTGACTGATGGTACTGAAGGTGTTTCATCTGAGACTTTGAACATGTTATGTCCACCCACGCGTTGGTCATGAGACACTTCAGCTTTTTCGTTTCGTTTATTGCATTGTAATAAATATGGTAATTTTAATACATGAGTTTGTCATTTGTCAACTATTGATCACTGCCTGAGACTGTTGTGCTTTTGTGTGTTTTAAAAAGTTTACATATTGATTTAAAAAAAACATAAATACATAAAATTTGCACGTTAAGCTGGATACAAGGAATTCTTTGAGTAAACATAAATAAATCCAAGATAGTGAAAATGGCAGTCTTCAAAAAAAAAAAAAATTCTGACATTTCTGTTCGCGCTGAAATAGTGAAATACAATTTTATGTCATGCTACTTGGTATTAAATCCCAACCTTCCCCTACCAATTTCACGTCTATAAGGGGAGAAAAAAACAATTTAAAACTTTGGTACGTTTAAACACCAGAAAATTCAATGTTTTTGTTTTCTCTCTCATGTTTTATTTGTGGTGTGCCGCGGAGATCCGTGAAGGGTCTACGTGTGCCGTGAGTGAAAAAATGATAACGGGGCACTGGCATGTAGTTCACTCTAGCAGGGCTCACCATGGCGTCGCCTCTATTCCTTTTTATGTGCTCAGTGAACGCCGCTGACCCATTGAAAGAAAGTAATTATTTAGTTTCAAATGTTTGTGCCCTTGTGATGAAAAGTACGCATAGCACCTGAACTACGGCTGACCCATTAGTGCTGTATGTTAACTGTATGCAACAGTGATATATCAATCACCAAAACATTGACACCCCATTGTGCAGCTCAACATATTCACTGCTAGCATTTCATGTCATTATCGTGTACTTTGTAAAGTCCCCCCTCCTCCTCGCCCCCTTACCCCCTAGCCTTCTTTTACCATAACACAATAGTTTGTCCCCCCCCCCTCCAACCCCATTCTACACCATCACAGATGTAGAAATCAGCTAGGAAATTTAAAACATGTATCCTCGGATTCCCACCATGGGGTCTATTGTGTTTCGTAGCCGGTTGGTGCAGAGACTAGTTCGGTTCTGGCCTGCTGCGAGAGTTGTGCAAGGTTGTGGTTGATGTTCTGGTGTGAACCAGTAACGCCATGTGGCAAAGGTTCTAAAAAAACAAAAAAAACAACTACATATGCTCAACGCGTCATCGATTGGGGGACCATCGTGTAACTTGTCGACATAAAACATACAAGGATAATAATTTACTCAGTTCTTTGACAAAAAATTTTATCTGGCAGCTTCATGAGTTTTAGGCATCACGGCGTAATTTAAGGTTACAACTACACACTGGAGGGAGGGGATAGTTACAACTACACACTGGAGGGAGGGGATAGTTACAACTACACACTGGAGGGAGGGGATATTTACAACTACACACTGGAGGGAGGGGATAGTTACAACTACACACTGGAGGGAGGGGATAGTTACAACTACACACTGGAGGGAGGGGATAGTTACAACTACACGCTGGAGGGAGGGGATAGTTACAACTACACGCTGGAGGGAGGGGATAGTTACAACTACACACTGGAGGGAGGGGATAGTTACAACTACACGCTGGAGGGAGGGGATAGTTACAACTACACGCTGGAGGAAGGGGATAGTTACAACTACACACTGGAGGGAGGGGATAGTTACAACTACACACTGGAGGGAGGGGATAGTTACAACTACACACTGGAGGGAGGGGATAGTTACAACTACACACTGGAGGGAGGGGATATTTACAACTACACACTGGAGGGAGGGGATAGTTACAACTACACACTGGAGGGAGGGGATAGTTACAACTACACACTGGAGGGAGGGGATATTTTGGCTATCGATGACGCTGTCCTGCTTATTGTGGTAAACTGTCTTGTTTTAAAAAAAAAATTAATTAAAATAGGTAGACCAACAAAAAAAAAATTAATTAAAAAAGAAAGACCAAAAAAAATTAACTAAAAGAGATCGACCAAAAAATGAATTAAATAAGATAGACCAAAAAAAAATTAAAATAAAGATCTAGACCAAGAAAAAACAGGACGTAGCTGAAAACAGGATAGACAACAATAAATAGAACTTTAAAAAAAAAATAGCCATTCAGAATATAATCACGATTTCTAAAAATAGCTTTGTTCGTGGAAAAGACACAAATAAACACACACAGAAACACGTAAACACTCACAGAAACGCACACACACATCAGCGGCTACACAGTCTTACTAAGTAAATTGAAAATAAGCCACTTAGGACTTAATGCTGTTTTTTAAATTCTAAAAGTGCAAGTTTTGCCCACAACGATTGATTGGTTGTTGTTTAACATTATTTAACCGACGTCCCAGTCAGTGGCGTATCTAAGGTTAGCGCCGGCAGGGGGTGGAAAACCCCATTCCACAGTCACCCCCTCCTAGGCAACTGGTACCAGTCTTGTATGAGGCGTATGGCTATGCTTATTGGAGATGGTGATGTTGTGCTTATTGGAGATTATGATGTGATTGAAGATGATGTTGATGCTATGCTAATTGGAGATGTTGCTGTTTTGCTTATTGGAGCTGGGGATGTTATTGGAGATGGTGATGTTATGCTTATTGGAGATGGTGATGTTATGCTTATTGGAGATGGTGGTGTTATGCTCATTCGTTGGTTTGGTTTAGAGATTATTCAAGTCACGGGTGTAGAGATTATATCGTTGCTTTTTTTTTTCTTTTCTTTTAATAAATTAAATGCTCTTGTAGGTAGACATAATGACAGTTTTCGTTTTTTTTTTTTTTTTGTATGCGTGTTTTGTTTTAGTGACCTGAGTTTGAAAGAATACAAGAACTTTGAATGAGCCATTTTCACCCGTCTTGTTCTCATGGCAACACCACTTCAAACAAATGAGATAATCCCACTGGCTGCGATAAAGGGACTAACTACCCGGGGCTGTTTTTTACCACTCAGATAAGCCTGTCCGTCTGATGCTAATAAGACTTCACACGTATTTGGTTCAGTAGTTTTGGCGTCCCTTGGACAAGCTCTACGGCCATAAAACAATAACACAAAACATATTAACAAACATATTGCAAACAAATTACAAGCATATTACAAACATATTACAAACTAAACGCACAGGGACATTTCAGCAGCTGTATATAAATGAAGATGTGTCGTCTGAGCGTGTGGACATTTAAGATGCGTAAGATTCATCCAGGTCAAACCTACGTCGTGCTCAGCCGTCACCTGGACGTCAGGCTTCCCTCTAGTTCATCCCTCAAACAATCTGTAGTCCAATCCTGCTGTGTACACACACTTCAAGGTCACACTAGTTCCTACTGCAAGGTCACGTGCACTTCCTAATGAACTGCATACTTCAATGAAACATGTACTTACTGATGCACTGCATACTTCAATGAAACATGTACTTACTGATGCATGGCGTACTTCAAGGTCAAGTGCACTTCATGTTCCCTTGTCACATGCATTCTATGCTTCTTGACCTTTTCAAAAGATCTATAATTTTCGTATTTACGCTTGAAAATAAAGACGTCTAGACTACACAAACCTTACCGCAGTCATTCTTACCGCAGTCATTCTCACGGCAGTCATTCCTACCGCAGTCATTCTCACGGCAGTCATTCTCACGGCAGTCATTCTTACCGCAGCCCTTCTTACCGCAGTCATTCTTACTGCAGTCATTCTTACCGCAGTCATTCTTACCGTAGTCATTCTCACGGCAGTCATTCTCAACGCAGTCATTCGGTTTTTTTTTCGATTCGACAAGCTGATCGGTGCCCTTCTGTTCAACCTTCTCTTTAATTAAGTTAGAATCTGATGGTTTAAGGGGTAACTTTGATTTAGCGAGTAGTCGGAATGAGTTTTCACTGGAGCCTAAAAGAGTGGAGCATGGGGGGGGGGGGGGAAGAGATTTGCTTTGTGTATGGACAACAATGAATTGTACCAATCGTGCTTACCGTGTATGAATACATTGTCGTATCAACTTCTTTCAGCCATGTTCTTCTTTCAGCCATGTTCATACTATTTTCTGAGTGCAGTAACGCTGACATAAAAGACACATCTTAGTTGGTGCGATCTATTTTACTCACTGTTAACTACTAAATAACCAACATTTTCTGATTGAGCGTTAAGCTAACGCTCTTAAAGCCCTCGGCTGGT